GACAAGGTTATCTGGGGATCAATAGGATAAAAGTCTTTAGTTTCTTTACGCTACATTTTCAAGATAATAGGATGAGAAGACATAAGTATAAGATTTGGAAAAGACAGGCTGAGTTCCAGTTAAAACAGTTGTAACTTTCTAACATGTTGAGTAAGTTATTCAAAGAATTGCCATTGGCAATAGTGGAGGCCGGAATTTAACACACGTGTGAGAGGGAAAACAAAGATTTCCTGAAAAATAAAATACAAGTTAAAATTTTTACTATCATCAAGGGAGGGTGTGAAAGTACAGCCTTCATGGATCAAGGTGGTTCCTCATCGTTTGTTTATGTTCTTCCGTCAAGTATGTTGAGAAGTTTTATAAGTACTGGTACAAACGTAATTCAAATATCATAGTTACAATCTTGTCCCAGATGTTTAAAATATTTTCAAGGCCAGACTTCTGGACAGTTGAAACAAAAATGTCAACACTACCAGTGGTAATACACGATTCTCAAATGAACCATTTTCTTGGTAAGATTCATCATTGAAGAATAATCTTAAAAACTATATCTGACTGGACCAAATCTGCAAAAACTGATGAGCATCATATCTCGGTGTTCCAACAAAGCTTTAGGTCAGTGCAAGTGCTTGATTCCTAAGCTTACAAAAAATCCAGTTACAGAAATATCTTATCATATCTTGTGTATGTATTGTTTAAGGTAATCCTGGTGGAACTAACAATGATGTATAGTACTCCAGCAATCCAAAAACAATCCAGAGAACTACACAAAATATTCAATAGAACAGTTGTCCAAAAAATGATTCTAGAAAGTTTTTCTATAAAAAAAATACTGGTATGTAAAAAAAATTTAAATACAATACACTCATATTAATGTATGTTCCAACATTAAACCTGTTGCGAGCTAGACCTCATCTAGGTTCACTCATTCAATTTTGCATTTTCATGGCTCAATCATAAGGAAGTTGTTTTTACCCAATTCAAGAACAAATAACCAAAATCCATATAAAAGTATTATTATTATTATTAGCCTTGTTCTGTGCATAGCATTTTTAGAATGCATAATTAATTGTTCCTTTACAAAACTTTAAAAGAATGGAGATGTCTCAAAAACTTGACAGATGGAACAAAGTAATGCTTCAGTCTTTAGAGGCTAAGCTTCGTTCCATGGTATTGTACACGTAATGAACGATTCAAAGATGCAGGACCTTGTATTAGTTTAGTTTTAGCATTCACACGTTCTTGTTTCTCTTGTTGTCAGAACTTGGAACACGTTCTGATTCAGATCTGACAACAAGAGAAACAAGAACGTGTGAATGCTAAAACTAAACTAATACAAAGTGCTTGGAACACGTTCTGATTCCTTCTCTTGGAATTGACATGAAAAGTAATGTTACGGATTAAACTTTTAACTCATAAGATCATAGCTTTCGTGCTGTAAATCTAAACCAATTTTGCATTTAGAGAGTACTAAAAACATAGAGTTCTAACCTTTAGTTTTTAACTGATCCTGCTAATATACAATTTTATTAAAACTTTCAAATGCCTTGACATATCGCAATCACTGACCACACGGGCATTCAAAGTTGTCCTTGCTCAACCGACCCTTGAGAAAAGTAAAAATTTAAACACACCCCTCCTTTTATATTTCAGGAAATTGTCAATTCCCCTTTTAACCTGTTAAGTGCTGGCCTCCACTACTGCCAATATCAGAATATTATACAACTCATTCAGCCTGTTAGAAAAATAAAACTGCTTTAACTGGAGCCTAGCCTGTCTTTTTCCAAATCTTAAACTTGTCTCCTCTCACTTGCTGCAAGATTTAAACCAATCTTGCACTTAGATTTAAGAGCACTATATAGTACAGGGTAAAATACAAATGTTAATCTTTTATGACCTTGTACTAATCAATTTTATTAACACTTAAGTGGCCAGTCATAAAACTATACGTAGGATTTTGCAATGATAATTTCTTTAATTGAACACCCGCCACTTTTGACTATAATCCAAAAGCAATAACACGTAAACATTTATATGACTAAGCAAATTTAAACTGCAAGTAACAGCACGTAACAAAAATTTTTATCTCCACCATCTGTAATTCATAATTTCTTTTAAAAAAATTATCATTAGCCATAGTTTTGTTATGCATTTTTCTTCATAATTTTATCAAAACCCAAATATTTTCACTTTCTCGTCTTAATTAAAAACTCTTAACGTGACCGGGTACAGTCTTCACGATAACGTTGATCAACAGAAAACTATTTTCTTAAAATCGAGTTTCATAAATCACTTTACATACATTCTCAGATCTGTAAAAATTCATTACTCGACATATAATTGGAGCATACTGAAACAAGAGTTCTCCATATTTCTCCAGTTTCTAACAGATTCATTTCGATTAAATGTTATCCAAAAACACTTTATCAATGTTTATATCATTTCATCATTAGATAGATCCAATTGTTTGGAAGTACAAAGTGCTATTTGTGCTCTGCCTACTGCAGGTATCCAAACCCAAATTTTAGTATTTTAAGTTAAAATACTTACTGCTGATCACCAGTGGGGATTCATCATTGAATTAAACAACTTTACTGGTGTTATCTTATCAAAGGAATGAATATTTTATTAAAACTATCCTACTGGTCTTCTACTATAAGTTCTATAAACATCATCTAAATATAAGCAAATATTTGTAAGTTTTCCTCAAATAAAGAAATTGTTCAAAATTTAAATATACCTATCTACTTTTGAAACTTAAATTATAAAAGTTTTTCTCTATAAAATAGCAAAGCAATATTTTAAAGGTGAAAACTAATTAATAAATAAACTCCAGTTCAAACATATGTCCAGAGGGCTTTTATATTTCATAGCTTTTGCAAAAAAAAAAACAAAAGTTTATATGCCAAACACTTTATGCTACAATAAGATGATTTTTTTAAATATATATATTTTTTAAATGTCCCCAAATACTTTAGTGTAATGTCAAGATAGAAAACTTACTAATACTATCCAGAATAAATTCAAGTTTTACAACTTACAAGTGCTTCTAAAATTCTTTACATCTCAAATCCAAAATTTGAATCAGTACATCCGAACAGTCTCCAATATTTGAGTATTTCAACAAGCTGAATGGCAAAGCTATAGTCTTACCAAATTCAGAAATTGTGTGATGAACCGAAACTTAAAAGTTAAACTTACACTCAGTTACAGCCTAAAAATAAGATTAAGTAAAAATTCGATTTCGAGTGACAGAACATCACCAAGCAGAGTTGCAAAATTATAATATTTAAAAACATTTAACAACAGTTGAATCTACTTTAGTGCAAAAATTATACCCAGGTTCTTTTAAAAATAAAAGTTACACTTAATAATGATTTGTAATGAACACCTATAAGAATAATATAAACTAAACTTTCGTTCCAAGTCAATAAATGTCACTACGAACAACGTTCACGTATATGTATGCTCAGTCAATGTAAACTGGAGACAATAAATGTGATTTTTTTTTAAACTTCGTTAGGCCCAACATATGGCTTAGTTTATTATTAACAAAATTAATAATGTTACATTATTTTTGCTAGCGCTAATCTCAAGTTATTTAATGCTTATAACTTAAAATTAATAATATAGTTATTTGAAACTGTATTTATTAGACTTAGGTAGCTTACAAATTAATTGAAGAGTTCAAGTTTATATAGCAGCGCCACGACGCGAGTAATTTTCGAATCCCATAATGGGGGTAATCTTTTTACGCGTTTCTGTACGATTAACAATTGAATGAAATTTGACATTTTAAAAGTATTGATAAAATGAAGTGTTTTCGTGATCTGACGTTGTTATTAAATATTACACAGGAAAACCTAACCCTAAGATAAGCATAAAGGTTACAAGTACTTCGAAGAAGGACAAGTGAAAAAAATTGTTGACGGTTTTAATGGCGGAGACAAAAATTAAATTACTATTATACATGGATATTTTCATATGACAAATTGTAAATCAAAATGCGTAAATATAAATAACTGACCCCAATAATACTGTTTGTGATACAAAGTAAATGAAAATTGTAGACAAAAATTAGAATTTATACATTTCCCATCTGTTATGGTGTGAATACCTTTTCTGAGCTGATGAATTATGACAATAATTAATTATAGTAATAATAAAACATTAGTAGTAAAATATAATAGTAATAAGTAGTATACTAGGCCTAATGCTAATGTCTCTTGACTAGTATAATTAATCATTTCACTGCTGGTTCAAAACCATTGTTTTTCCAGTCACGACAGCGGTAAGTTTAGGGATTTACAACGATACATTTCGAGTTCGATTCCTGTGGTGGACCCAACAGATAACCCAATGTGACCTTGTTCTGAAATAAACAAATTCTCTTTCTAGCCAAGTAATAAGAGAAATGTTTTTTGTGTCCCTTAGTGGTACAGCGGTAAGTCTTGGACTTATAACTCTAGAAACCGGGTTTCGATACGCGTGTGAACTTTTAAGTTTAAACATATGAAAATCATCTTTGCCAAACATTGATTTGATAAGAATGTATGTTTGTTTGTGTGTTTGCTCATTGGTACACCTTGTGTGTATGTTTGTTTGTGTGTTTGCACATTGGTACATCTTTTATCTGTGTTTGTTTGTGTGTTTGCACATTGGTACATCTTGAAAATGTCGGCGGTTATGTTTTCATTTGTGTGTGTGTGTGTTTGTGTTTGTCAGCAAGATTTCTCGAAAGTGGCTGAATGGATTTCGACGAAATTTGGCATACACTTGGACTATGACCCAACTTAGAAGTGATTATTTTTGGAGGGTCAATGTCAAAGTCACAGCAAGGTAAAAAAAATCCAAAAATATCTCCATCTGTTAACGTGGGTACCGATTTTTCACACTATTTTTGCTCTATAACTCAGTCAAAAATGATTGGATCTTTGTTGAAACTTTTATGGACACGTGTAAAATATTATTCCCCATTGTTTTGCCAAAAAGGGGCCGTATCCGTTGATACCTACAGACATGCGGTCACATTTTATAAAGCCGAATATGATCAACGCTGCGTAGCGGAGGTATACGTTTTAGTGAATGCCCCTCTAGTTATTTTCTGTCGGGTTGCGGGTTCGAATCCTCGTCACTGATCATGATCGCCTTTTCAGCCGTGGGGACGATATAATGTAATGGTCCATCCCACTATTCGTTGGTAAAGAGTATCCCAAGAGTTGGCGGTGGGTGGTGTTGACTAGTTGCCTTACCTGTAGCCTATCACTGCGAGAAATTCAAAACAAAGCTAATTATTTTCCGTGTTGATAGAATTTAAAAACAAAAACCGACACCCGCTTGCAAAAAACACTTCAACAGTGTCACTATTTCATGATAAACTTGTAAAAGTGAGGGGGGGGGGGTGTTATGAATATTTTATTGAATCTTGCAAGAAAATAATTCCGATATTAGCTGTTGTAGTCTAGAGTGGATGGGTCGTCAAACACCAAGGGTGAAATACAATACTATACAATTGACAACACACATAGAGAGTGCACTTACGTATAACGTTTATTTAATCTACTTTGGATTCAAATTATGCAAATGAGATTTACATCACAATTAATTTTGGAAGAATAAAATGTGAATCAAGTGGTTAAAATATCTGACAAAAAGAAATAATAAAACCTTAGGTGGCTGCCCTAGCTCTCTTAAGTAGGATTAGATTCATAGATGGTGCAACAGTTAGCAAGCGAAACTGTATTTTTGATTGTCGTTAAGAGCAAAGCTACACAATAGGCTATTTATGCTGTGCCCACCACTGGTATCGAAACCCGGTTTTAGCGTTATAAACCTTCAGACTTACCGTTGAACCACTAAGTATAACTTGAGTTTAGCGTTGTGCGATCTGTTCTGTAGTATGAGTTGAGTTTAGCGTTGTGGAAGACATATATATAAATGGATGAATTTCACACGAAAAATAAAAACTGGATAAGTGAGTATACTAAAACAAAACTCTCAGAGATGTCGTGCCAATTCTCAAAACAAAATATCTACATAGATTAGAACTAAAAACTAGCGTAATTGGCTTAATATACTCTTGTAACTATAAGTATGAATAAAACGCAATGATCGATTGGTTTGGTACCAGTTCTGTTGATGAAACAGTCCGTATGACTCTTAGTGTTATTTCACAAACAGTATCATGCAGGAATAAAAAGAGAAACTGTAGTTCATATAGGGTTTTATACTTTTTTAGGTTTAAAAACACTAAGTTAGAAACATTTTTAATGGTTGAGAAATGTTAACAATAAAGGAGAACAATTTGTTGCATCTCATTATATTTCTAATTTCCGTACAATTTATGCCGATAATCATAATTTC